GATCCGGGTCCAGGATCCCGGCACAGTTTTCCTGTGTATACACACGCGATATGGTGGGGGTAGGTCGAAGGCTTGTCGCGCGACGCCCGCCGCGCGCGCCGAGAGCGAGCGGCGGCGCGGAGCGGCGATAGTGTAGCGGTGGGATGAAGTGACATCGAGTGACTTGCACAAACACGGATATCTCGAGCACGGAGAGGCGCGGCTGGCGCGGCCTAGCGCGGCCGAGCGGTAACGTGGGTGTGCGTCCAGAGGGACCGGCGCTTTGGCGGACCCCCTGCGATGTCAGTAGTATAGTAGCGCCGGGTGACAGCCGGCGACAGCAACCCGATGGCGGTCCCCCCGATTGCGGGCCCTGCGACGCCCGTGGCGCCGCCTATGTGCACTGAGCAGTTCAATGCGACCTGCAGTGGTGGCGGCGGTGCCGTCCAAGTTATCAAATCCTCGCGTTGCGTTAAAGCCGACCCCCTCTGGCTCGTAAGTGTTGGTCTTCTTTCTGTGTGTGCGGCGCTTTTCTTAGACAGTCCCCAAGACGGTCTCTACCAGAAGGCAACTTACTCGTAAAGACCGCGAGTCGATTGTGTCGTGGGGTCCCCCACTCGCCAACTCGTTGTACTCTTGCCCGTGCCCAACTCGCGCCTAACTCTCGTCAAAATCGCGCAAACTCGCGCCAAAATTGTGCGAAACAAAGTCAACAGAAATCGCTGAAACTATGCGGGGAACTAGTAGAACCAGTACAAATTAGTCGATACAGGGTGGGTGATCCGCGCCGTGTTTTTTTCTGCTTATACTGTACCGCAATCATGCGTGCGGACGGGTTGCATACTCGCACGGGGCCGTAAGGCGCCCTGGCGAGCGACGATAGGCAAGCCCGCACGCACGTATGAATCCGGTACAGCATAAGCAGAAAAAAAAACACGGCGCGGATCACCCACCCTGTATAAGCGTTTTCTACCACCAGAAAGCCTCAGGATTAAACATAAGCGGACAGGAATCACTGGGAATCAAGCATTTCGGGAATCATGTGTACACATCAAAGGGGAGTTATTGCCCCCTCGCTAAAAATTGATCCCAACTCGCGCCCTACTCGCGGTAACTCGCCAACCTGGCAACTCGTTGTACACCTATTTTGGAAGTGGCGGACCCCTCGGATTGTGTAGTGTCGCCGGGAGGGGCGCGGCCCCCGCTAGCCCAGTGGCGGATTAAGGTTCGACTGACAGGGGGGGGCGATGCACTGTCGGTTGCCTACATACAGGGGTTTTGTGGTGCAAATTGCCTACCTTTCAAGCGGTTGTCTAGAGACGACAGGGGGCGATTGCCCCCCCCCCCCCCTTAATACGCGCCTGCGCTAGCCCCGCGAGGTTGGTGCGCACCTGCCACGGGACGCGTCGTGCTCCGAGCGGCACATGTGGCGTGGACGTCAACTTGCTCTGCATTTAGTAGATGCTGATCGGATATTTTATTACGAGACTCGGTATGGAAAGGAGAATTGATGTGACACTTTGCGCCAGTGAGGTGTGGTACTTCCCTGCCGCTCCCCTGCGCCTCACCTGATTGCTCTCGGGAAATGTTTTGTAATCAGTTGCCCACCCGTTCCCACGATGACGAGGAGCTCGCGACGTACCCTTTAACGACAGCTGATTACACCGTTTTAATGACTGCGCTTTTTTGAAAAGGACGAGTCACTTGTTGACATCAGGTGCAACTGATTAGTGTTGTCGTTCGGGTGAACGTCCCTCATGTGTTGCATATACTGCATATGTTCGTCCAGTTCCACTCCCAGTTTATGATGCTGGAGGTTTAAGCATTAATTTGAGACATATTTCGTCCAATATCCTTATTATTACTCACATATATATTTGTTCCTTAACCCTTAAATTCAGGAAGAGTGTATCGATCCGTAATCAATCCCTGATATCAGCCACAGTCGGCGAACAGACCGCTTTGCAAGTCAGCCAGATCAGCCATACACACACACACACACACACACACACACACACACACACACACACACACACACACACACATACATACTCACTCACACGCACTCGCTACCTGTTCCGCCCGCTCGATCCCTTCCCGATTCGCAGCGTCATCCTTCTAAAATGATTTCAAACCTTCTGAAGGCTTCACACCCGAAAACCACTAAAACTAGTGAGGCGACTGCGCTGGGGAATTCCCACTTTGACTTCATAGTCGAAACCGGTTGAAACATGTAAAATGGTGGGCATTATGCATTAATGTTTTATTTCAAAAACACCAACCCGGTTTAATCTTGTTCACACCAATTTTTTTTCCCGCGAAGCACTTCATATTTGGAAAGAGGTAAACAATAATTGTTCGCCTGCTTGTGGCTTGCCGGGCGGCGGTGAAGAGCCGACCACCGGGAGGGTGTGAGAGGAGGGGGAGTGGAGAGGGGGTGGTTGCTGGCTGCTAGTGGAAAAGGCCATACCATCCATGCAGCTGTAAGGCTGTAGGTGCTGAACCTACGGCGGCAAACCCGAGGGAGACACCACCACCACCACCATCATTGTACTCACTCGAGACATGTGCGAGAGAGAGATAGAGATAGGATAGAGAGGGCGGGGGAATAGGGCCGGGGGGTAGAATGCTCGTAGGCCTCGTAGGGCACCATACTGCACACACCACTGGTCACGAGTCAGTGCTGGTCGGTAGCCGTGCGTGCAGCCCGTCCGGACTAGAGGTCAGGCCCGCCGCGCAGCCGACCGCCGCCACCTCACCTCCGCGAGAGATTCTGCAGCGTCATTGTCTACCGCACACCGCTAGGCCCCTCCCCACCACGGAGCGGGGCCGGCCACGCTCCGCTTAGCTCCAGCGGGCTGCTTATCGGCTTAGGCGGAGCCCGTGTCAATCCGACTATCGCCCCCCTCTCACTCCCACCGCCACGACCCGCGCCTCCAGATCTCCGCGGTGGCCCAGCTCCAGCAGCGCGGTCCATATGTGCGCACCTGCGACCAAAGCCGCGGACCCCGCAGCCACGGCCGCAGCCTCGCGCGGTCAGTTGCTGCTGCCCCCCGCCGCGGTGGCTACGCCGTCCAGGACGCGGGGGAAGTCCCCGGCGGGGCGGGGCGGTGCGTGCGGGCCCGGGGCCGCTCTGGGCCGCTCCCCGCCACCCGACCCGGGCCCGGGCCCCGGGCCCAGCCCGGCAGTGCGAGTCATGGACTCGCCGCGTCAGGAGGGCAGACCCAGTCTGCACGCCGTGCCCGTGCCTGTCGTGCCGCACGTAGACCGGCCGCCGCCGCCCGGAGTTTGGCCGTCCACGTGGAGTCGCGCGAGCGTGCGTGCGGCGTGCGCTGCGTGCGCGGCGACGAGTAGAGGAGCGACAAGACTGATCCCAGAGATCCCAGTAAACACCCGGATATGCGGCTCTGTCGGCTGTTCAGTGTAAGGCGTCAATATGCCATTGGTGCGCGTTGTGCGTTACCGGGTATTCGGATAACTGAAGTGTCAGGCTTGTAGTGCACGTCGGACGCATGTCTCGGATGCAAAGCCCTCTTTCTTCCGCACCGTGTCAAGGTGACTGTTGAACCCCTCGCACTTTTGTAGTTTGCACTGTATACCGACTGCATGCAGGCGTGCATCGGGTTTGCCTGTTGTCGCTCACTACGGCGCTCAACGGTCCGGAACGGGTGGGCAACCCGCCGCCCTCACGCCTGCCTGCTGTACAGTAACGACCAAAAAGTGCGCGGGGCTAATCAGCGTGCCTCGCGCGCCATCCCCCTCCCAATTCCGAGGGCGTGTGCCGCCGCGCTGCTGGGAGGGATTGCGGCGGTGCCAGAACTTTTGGCAGATCGGCTGGGGGGGAGGATTGCCTGTCCTATCTCGGTGCCACTCGCGTGCACGACGATATGCCCTGCCGGGGCCTTGCCGCGCCTGCAGCTGGCGGGGGGAATCGCTGACTAACGCCTCATGTGTTGTTTTGTTGTGACGGGGCGTAAATTTGTTCCTCGGTCATCAAGGCCGCTGCGCGCACGGCCGCTCTGCTCGTCCTGCTGCGGTCGCCCGTACCCGCGCGCGTTAGTTAGGCTCCCTAGCGATAGTCCTCTCCCACTACCCACGCCCACCCACTTCCCCCGAAAAAAACAAAACGGAAAAACACCCGTCGCGTTCAAGGGGCAATGGGAGTGCGTAGCGCACCGTGACGGGGGTGCGGCGCGCGGCGCACGCGGCGTCCGCGGGTCCCCGCTAATTGGGGTGGCCTTTCCCTCCCTGACCTGCTCGCCCGGGACCTGCCCGGGACTCGCGGTCACGTGACGGTCATGTTTCCCTTTCTGATTTGCAGAGGTCGGCAGCCCCGCCCCACGCGGGTCCAGCAGGTGCGCCCCGGGTGGCTCTCGGCGCGCCCCGCGGCGGCGCGCACCCAGACGTGCCCCCGGGCGTCTCGTACGTCATCATGGACGGCGAGACGGCGCTCGACGCGCTGCAAAACTTGACGAGCGCCGCGGGCACCAACTACTCCATCGACAAGAACTCGGACCTCGGCGACATGTACTTTAACATGACCAACTATGTCGGAGACACTCTTAAGGTACACTAAAGGGGCTGGTTAAGAAACCACACGTGGAATTATTATTATTTTTTTTTTATTTTTTTTTTTTGGGGGGGGGGGGTGCAAATTTTGTGGGGCTCCAAAAGGATCGGGTGGTTATATGAGTCCACAGGGACCCCATGATATTTGTACCTCGGGGTACAATTATCATGGGGTCTTCATGTGTTTGCGCTTCATACAGTGTTACTCATACAATACTTTCCCTTAGAGCATTTGTTTATGAATCTGGTTCTACATTGCAGATGATGTGCATGATGAGGAGTCATCACATGCTCACTGATGTTGTCCTTCAAGCTGGATCAGAACAGTTCCATGCCCACAAATTAGTCCTTGCATCAGCTAGCCCATACTTCAAAGTAAGCTCCTGTTTTGCTTTCAAAATAAAAATTGGCGATAAGGGGGGGGGGGGCAAGAGAGTATCCCATTGTTGCAATGTCTAATGTCCATTTTGCCTTTTCATTTATTTCAGGCAATGTTCACTGGCGGTCTGAAAGAATGTGACATGTCACACGTCAAGCTTCAGGGTGTTTGTCCCACAACACTAGGAGGGGGTGGTTGCTGGCTGCTAGTGGAAAAGGCCATACCATCCATGCAGCTGTAAGGCTGTAGGTGCTGAACCTACGGCGGCAAACCCGAGGGA